GGGCGGCGGAGGGCAGCGCGCGCCGCGTGGCAGGAGGCGCACTGCGGGGCGGGCATCGCGGGCTCCGGGCGGGCCGGGAGGAGCTGGCTTCTCCTGGGCGGGGAGAGAGGGGAGGCAGGTTACAGACGGATTCCGGTTTGCGGGGGTCGTTGCCTCCAGGGAGGTGGCCTGGATAGCACTGAGTACACCCACTGCCTGGAATACTCTCCCGACACTTGTGCAAGCTTGGTACCTTCAAGTCTCAGCTTAAGCGTTCATTATTCATTCGTCCATTCAACAGGTATCCATTCATTGCCTCCCATCTACCCAACATGCGTTAGGCACTGGGACAGCAGTGATCAAAATAGGAAGGGTTGCAGGGAGGAGCAAACCCATGGATAAGTAAATAACCAAGATACTTTACAAATATAAGGAGTAATATGAAGTAATTATCCTCTGAGCTGAGGCCAGAACGACAAGAAGGAGTCAGGCATTAGATCAGGGTGGGCAGAATGTTCCAAGACAAATGCAAATACCTGAAGGGCAGGGCCTATGTTCAGTTGTTTGGAAAGTGAGTTATGGCTGAGGGGGGCGGGGGGGGGCGGGAAGAGGATCCAGGGCTTGGAGGTTGGCAGGGTGAGGAGCTTGGATTTTATTCTGAATGAGATGGCAACCATTGGATGGTTGTAAGCTGTGGAGTGACAGGATCTGATTTATATTTTAACAAGATCCCTCCCGCTGCTGCGTGTGAATAGAGGGTGGAGAGTGGCGAGAGCTGACCAGTAAGGAGGCTCCTGCAATGATCAGATGAACAATAATGTGGCTTAGGGCTGAGCAGAAGCAGTGGAGGCAGAAAGAAGTGGTCAGATTCTGGATCTCTTCTGGAAATAGAGCAGGTGGGTCTCACACAAGACTTGGTTGAGCGAGGCAGTAGGTGAAAGAAGCTGAGAGGACTGACAACTTCAAGCTTCAACTTCTGGCTTCTGCAGTTGGAAGGACAGTGGGACCATTTCGTGGGGAGGAGGTGGGGAAGTAGGAAGAACAGGCAAATACTGTGAGATCACGGCGCAGGTTTAGGCCAGAGAATCTGTAATTTTGTCTGGGCATGGTAAATTTTGAGGTCCTTTGCTCTGGAAGTCTTTCCTGAACCCTGGCCTGGGTCTGGCGCCTCCTCTGGGCTCCCACGGCCGCCTGACGCCCCCTACGCCAGCCCTGATCACTCTAGGTTGTACCCAGGACAGAGGAGGGTGCGTTGGAACCGCCCTCAGGTTGGGGGGTGGAAACTAGAAGGAGTCAGAACAGAGGCAGATCCTAAAGCAGATCAGCAGGGACACCAGCTGCTTAGGGCACTCCAGCCCCGCGCGTCGCCAGAGACCGTTGGGGGATCACGGAGAGGAGTGCCGTATCTCCAGGGATGCCTACCGGAATGCGTGGGAGAGTAATATACAGACCCTCAACTCCTACACGGGAGTACGACAAAGGGCCAGGATCGGCGCGCCGAGGAAGGGAGCACTCACCTGAGTAGAACCCGCGCAGGAAAGTCCAGGCTCCGAGAAAACGCGGAAGCGGGTGAAGGGACTACGACTCCCAGAAGGCTTTGGGCTTACCCGCCGACGACTCCCAGAGGCCGGTGGTGCGGTTTGGCCGGAAGCGCCTAGTGCTCCGGGACCAGCTGGGCCCACACCCAGAGAGCCTCGCAGTGACGTCACGCGCTCCGCCCACGGCTCCCAGAGTGCTCCAGGCCAGACCGGCGCGTCTTTTGTTTGCGCTTGCGCAAAAGCAGGTGGGGCGTCTGGTTTGTAAGGGCAACCTCGCGCTGTGCACTTTATTCTAAAAAAGGAATGGATGCTTTTTAGGTTTTCTGCCCTTATGGGAGTATGATAGGATTTGAGGTGCGAGTGGAAAGTTGTCGGGGTGGGGGGAGAAAGGAATAGGGGTGCGCAAGGGAGAGGCCGCACGTGCGCTGCGCAGATTGCAGGGATTGGGCCGCGTTGCCGGGACACGGGGTGGGCTTTTACGCGCACCCCACGGGAGTGGGAGTGGGTGCGCGCCCGCGCGGGGAGCCACGGCCGTGCGGGCTTGGGGGTTGTGCGTGCGCGGAGCCGGCAGGAGCGGTTTGCGCTTCTCCACGCGCGCGCCAGCCTCGGGGAGTGACCCGGGTGAACAGTTACGCACCCGTGTGAACAGTTACGCACCCGTGTGGCTCAGTGACAAGTGCGCGCGCCTCCAGCCTTGTGGGGTTGAAGACAGAGCTCGGGGTGGAGGGCAGGTGAGACCCATGAGATGGAAGGTTCCCAGGGTTAGGGTGCATTCTCCCAAGAGTCAGCCAGAGCCCGGCTCCCCTCGTTCGCTTTCCATCCCCCAAATTGCCTTCTCTCCTGCGTGTTATATTCCGAGATTCTCTTGTCTCTACCCCTGGGAGGCCCTTGATAGGGAGGATTCAGAGTGAAGGGTGATGGGGGACGTTTGAGCGTCTGAAGCTGTCAAGAGGGTTGAACCCGGGTCATCGGGCTCATACTTGAGTGATTTCCTGAGTCCTCCTGTGTTGCAGGTCCTGCCCTGGGGCCCTGGGGGACGTAGGAGTGTCAGGCGTGGCTGGGGAGATAAGGATGATGAAGCTTGATGTGGAGGGACAAGATGTCCGGGGCTGCAGGGACCCAGACGTTCCAAGTGCTGCGAGCCAGGACATGAGGGAAAGATCAGCACTTACTGAGCAACTGGACGTACTCTGCATTTCCAGGCAGCATGTCAAATTCCTCCTCTGTAAAGTGGGGGTTATAACAGAATCTGCCGCATAGACTGTTTGTGAAGATAAATGAGGTAATATGGAAAGTGTTCACCAAGCAGTAAGCTTTCATTATTTTCATCCCATTCAGTTTTCATAACCAGGGATGGCTTTCCTTTCGTGACCAGGCCTAATTTTTCTTTTAAAGCAAGGAGTGGGGTGAGAGTTTCCAAACCTCAGGCAACCTACTGATAGTCTGTAAGTCATTTCTCAGTTTGGGGGTGCTTTGGTACCTCAGAGAACATTTGGCACTCTCTGGAGACATTTTTGGTTGTCACAACAAGGAAGCAGGGGAAGGGTGTGACTAGTGTTTGGTAGGTAGAGGCCAGAGATGCTGCCAAACAATGTGTACAGGATGGCCTCTCATTGTAAAGAATTACCCGGTTCAAAACAACAGTGCCAAGGCTGAGGAACCCTGGCCTAAGTGGTATTCTGCTGTGATGTACATTGGTTCTCTCACCCAAAAACTAGTGTGCAAATTCAGGTGTTTCTGTGTTGGTTGTAGTCTCCTACTTTGCAAGCTTCTTTCACTAAATACTTGAGCAGATCTCAACACCACCCGCGGACTTTCAGCTGAGAAATTGATAAAAAGGTTTACCTCAAACTGGACATCGTTGACAAAAAGAGGATGGGAAAGCCAGCCTGCCAGTTGACTCCCCGTGCCACTTGCTTAGTTGTGTGACCTTGAGTAAGTGATGAAAACTTTCTGTGCTTGAGTGTCCTCATCTGTCCAGTGGGGATGATAATAGCATTGTTGGGTTAAAGAATTAAATGAGTTAACCTATGTAAAGCGTTAAGACCAATGCTCGGGGCTTAGTAAATGCTTGGGGCTGGGGCGTTCTGGTTCCTTAGGTCACTTCCCTGGGGCAGCAGTAATTGGTAGTGTTGAGAACTGGACCAGTCCCTGTAGCCCTCAGTGGCCACATTCACCAGCAAGCTGGCACGGTTTGGGCAGAAGTTCCTTATGGATGCTTTGCAAAAATTTTATGTTTTGTTTGTTGCAACATATTAATATTCCAGTGGAAAAGACTGTAAGTTGGTGTCGGGGACTTCTGGAGAGGGCAGAAGACTGTAGCTTCTCATCACTTGCAGGATAAGGTTGAATCCCTCAACCTGGTGTTTGCAACCAAGCCCCTGATGACTTTTCAGCCTCCTGAGCCTCTGGCAGGTCCCACACAATTGCCAGTGAAGTAACTTAGTTCTGTCAGGTGTTTGCACATGCCGTCCTCTCTTCCTGCAGACTCTCCCTCCCTCACTCCTCCTCACCACACTGATTCCTGTTTCTCATCCAGGTAGCCATGTGGATGTACTTCCTCTAGGAAGCCTACAGGACCCGTCCTCCCTTGCACTGCATTAACGAGCCACCTCTGGGCTCCCACAGCCCCTGGTGCCTCACTTTGTCAGAGGCCCTGTCACCTGAGCTGCCCCTAGCTTACCCTCCTTTCTTGTCTCCTACGCTTATTTGCACCCCAGTGAGCACAGAGCGTAGGCAGGAAGCTTGCCATGTGGTATGGTGGTTAAGGACAGAAGCAGCTTGGTTCAGATCCTGGGATTACCATCCTGGTTGTGTCACTGGACAACTGACATTTTCTCACCTGTAAGATAGAAATAATAATAGTCCAGCCCTCATATGATGAGAGCAGTGGTTCTCAACCTGGGATGATTGTGACCCCCAGAGGACATTTGGCAGAGACATTTTTGGTTGTCACAACTGGGGTAGGGCGAGACTGGCAGCCAACAGTGTTACAAACCTCTAACACACGGGACAGCCCCTCTAGCAAAGAACTAACATGCCCAAAATGTCAGTAGTGCTGAGGCTGAGAAGAGAGAACACTTGATGGGTGCTTACAACAGCTCTTGGGCCATAGTAAGTGCTCTGAAGATGTGAGCTACCATTACTACCTCTACTTATGCACACCAAGCTCTCAGGTGCATGCATCTCTCTTTGCCTAGAATGCCTTTCCCTCCCTTGTCGTGGGGGTTGAATGCGTACTTACCCTTCAGGATCTGCCCAGAATGCTACCTCTTTGGGGAAACCTCCCTGAGCTCTACGACCATATCTCCCAAGACACCCCCAACCCGACAATGGGTTAGAGTTCAATTAAGGTCAGGACTCCCTTTGTGGATTATATTAGTTTATAAAACCTAAAAGCTTAATGTTGGTTTAGATTAGGGGAAATTATTAAGAAATGTTTTTAGGGCGCCTGGGTGGCTCAGTTGGTTAAGCCACTGCCTTCGGCTCAGGTCATG